CATGTCTTTGAAGCCAAGTAACTCTCTGAGTAGTTGACGGAATTACTCCGTTCTACTTCCCAGGCCTAGCCGAAGGTCCCCTCCCATATATCCTGCGAACAGGATCCAGCCGGTCAGATGGCAACGAGGTATACAGTATTATTCTAACACCTTCAATCCTGTGGTAATATAGTCACAGGACACAACTGAGATTGATATATATGATGATGCGTGGGCCCCGTAAGGGAGCCGGAGGGGGGTGTTGGAGACCAGAAATTCTGATTCCAAGTGGGGTTACCCTACTTAGGGTGGTTCCTAGGTATCGGGTTCTGGTATTCCTAACATCGCCTGACTTTAAACCTCCATAACTCTTTACTCAACTGATAAATGTCTTCCAAAGAACTTCCTACTAATTTGCAGAAAGCTATTCTACCAGATTGACAATTATTCCCTCAGTCGGCAACTTTTGGTTGCTATGGGTAACAAGATTCCATGACTGTCGTAGTATGGAAAGTTGTCTTTGTAACTACAACGTGTTCCAAAACCTGGTTGTAACACTCTATAAAGTCTAATAACTTCTATAGTAGTGTTTCTCAGGGTTCTAGACTCCTCTAGACATTGTAGGGTGAGTGTAAATGTATTGGTCTCTTGCTGAGATTCTTTACTATTCAATACCATCTCTTTGTACAGAAACGGCCCATTACCTATGGTCCATACTAAAGGTATCACATCTTTAAAGCCTTGTAACGTTCTGAGTAGTTAGCAGATTTACTCCATTCCACTTCTCAGACTTAGCCGATAGTGCCCTCTCATATACCCTATGAACAGGATCTGGTTGGACAGATGGTGGCGATATACATAGTATTATTCTGATACCTTTAATTCTGTCATATCATAGTCACAGGACATAACCGAGATTGATATGTATGATGATGTGCAAGTCCTGTAAGCAGGCTAGAGAGGGGTGTTGGAGACTAGAGTTTCTAATTCTGGGTCAGGTTACCCTACTTAGGGTGACTCCTGAGTATCGGATCTCGGTATTCCTAACACTATCCTCCTTGGCCATACTGGCGTCCTTATATAGTCCACTTCTCACCAACTCTAACCCTGATTACTCATAACTCTGAGTCATGTGAAATCTTTGTAAACAAGTCATATGACTTGCATGAGTTATATGTACAAACCTCATGACTCATAATTGAGTCATGTGTGAAATATAACAAATGTAACTGTTCACAAGGTGCTATTCACATTATTGGTAATAGATACAATAGTTGGCAGGTTGCCTGCTCTACTAGAGAGAAGGTGAGAGCTGAGAACTAAAAGAAGCTTGAAGGGTATACTGAGAAAACTGAGAAGTGACTGTTCAACCAAGTATATTGAAATACTGTCTGTCGAAGTCTGTCCCTTCTATCATGGAATCAGGCGGTCTTTAAATACACAAATCTGTTAATGTCTATCATGAACGAAACTAATCAAAGGTATCAAGCAATACACTCTGGTAAAATAACTTAAGTATCAGAATGATACTTAAAACAAAACATAAAACAAAACCTAGTATTAAATAATACTTAACACAAACCAAGTATCAAAGCAATACTTAAAACAAACCAAGTATCAAAGTGATACTTAAAATAAAACATACAACAAAACCTAGTATTAAACAATACTTAAAACAAACTAAGTATTAAAGTGATACTTAAAACAAAACATAAAATAAAGCCTATAACTGAGTACCCATACCGGTTACAACAAAGTATAACATAAACAAATCATAAGTCTCGAGTGAGTCATATGTCCGAGATCCATGACTTGTAATCAAGTTATATGCGAAATCTAGTCACATCTGTGACAGTATTAATAAAATATTTATTTATATTAGTCAATACTATTAAAAATATATAAAATATATAAAATAAGATGGAAAAAAGGACTGAACGTGAAAAAATAAATATAAAAAAAAAAAATCTACATTCACAGTTAGGATAATAATACCTCATTAAAGGATTGTATAATTAATTGTATATCATTTCCATGAAGATTTTGAATAAAGTCTGACTGTTTGCTGAATTGGGACTTTATTTCTGAATGCCTTTTCTGAAATCCTTTCTCCCAGTGTTGTCCTAAAACCTCATTTGGCTTTCATTTCTTTACAATGGTGGTAGTAATTTTTGAAATTGCCAAATTGTTGGAGGGAAACCAAGTCGGCAGCGAAAGTGACAACACGTGAGGACCAATATCTCCTCTTCTGATGTTATCTTCTGCCTTCGTGAAGCCTCCTCTTGCTTGTTTCTTCTGCCATGTCTTCAATGCATCGTGGTAGATGGTGCGGCTCCTACCATTTGAGCTGCAACAGTGAGGGTAGGGGCTGTCCCTTTAATAGCCATTTCAATGACTATTTGTTCTCGAAGCCATGTTGGGATCTCGGTATCTCTTGATGGCATCCTTTTGATTCATTGATGTTGAATGCATTTACTATAATCACGAAATTGAATTCTCTAACTACGACTTCCTGCCAAGCTTAGCCAAGCCTCATTGAGGGTACCGCCTCGCTGAGCGGCCACATGGTCTATCAGCCTATCAGCTATCAGCCCACGGTAGGTTTAGTTAGTTGGTTGGGTGGGTTAAAAGAATTGCGAGTATCATACCGGTTGATCCGGTGGGCTGATCCTATACCATGTCGGGAAAACACTATCCATAGCCCTTCTCTGGAGCCTTTGATTCAAAATCCGGAGATTACAGGGCGGCCGGAGATAGTGGATTGCACGGGTAAATATATACCGGTACCGAACCAGTCCTTCCAACTGGAGCCAGCCATGGCGATAGAGCACACGGCCCAATTATTTGAGATCCTGGGTAATAATGACATGCCGGAATGTCGCATGATGCCGATTCTCCGAAGCCAAATCCATCGAATGAATGAGTAATCAAATTGAATGGATCAGGGAGACTGCTTGTACTATGTACTCGAGGAGGGTGCAGTACTCGAGTACTCGTAGACATAAATCATCTAATGACTGGGGGCGCATAGTACGGCATTGTGCTCAGTATCATACCTTACGAGTACAACCTTATCAGTGCCCACCACAAATATGAGTGACGAACAGGGATCAGGAACAAGTAATTTTCTGTTACCCTACTTTGAATATATTTCCTTTTTGCCCACCAAATACCCGTGTTCGTCACGAGCCCAGTTTCGTCGCGGGTACGATTATGATTGTATGGACAGATGGGTATGGAGGGAGATATTATTATAGCATGATTTTTTTATGGAATTACGAACTTCAAGTCGGATTAATTGCATTGATTTGATTGAGACTATCGCGGAATGGTGCCGAAAGCGGAAATGGGATGCGGATGAGCGAGCGAGCGAGCGAGATGGCCGGTCAGACCGTCAGAGGGCCTCGCACCGCGAAACAAAGGCGTCGAACCGTAGTCTACAGTACTCGTACCCGCACTAGTACGAGCACCGTGCCAGCACTCGAGCGCCGGTCCCCTACTCGCAGCAGGTAAGAAGTGCCCGATAATAGGGGCGAGTTTGAATGGGTGCAGAGATGCCCACGGATCTTTCGCCGTATATTTTGCGAATCCCTGTTATCGGGCGCTGTGCCTGCCACGGGTACTCTAAGCCTGTTGTGGCCTCCTCCGAGTCATTGCCTGCTCCCTACCGACTTGCCGACCTGCTGGGCTTCACTGCCTTGCCTAGGTTGGCGGTTGGACTGTTGCAAATGCCCATATCGTTCAAAGCAGACCCCATTTCGTCGTACATTGCCTTTTTTTGTGCAACTTTTGGGGGCTGAGGAAGTGTCATGGTGGTTCAGCCGGTTAAGCCTGGGTAAGGAGTTGAGGAAGAACGTTTCTTGTGTCGATTTTGAAATGAGTGCGTATGGGGATGTTTCTAGGGAAGGTGGTCTTTTTTTTCTTCTTTTCTTTTCTTTTTTTGAGGTTTCACTGGTTGCCGTATCGCATCATCGGTTGCTAACGCTCCTCTTCCACCAGTCTGAGACCTTTTCGGTTATGCGCGTGGGTAGATGGGGGAGTGGGGAAGGAGGGGAGGAAGTGTTGTGTGATTGCGAGGTTGTTATGAGGCCGCTACCTGCTATCCACTGCATTTGTGTTTGGTTGATGGCAAAACTATGATACAGTACTTCGTTCAGCATTGGCGTCTGGCATCGTCGTTCGTGGATTTGCGTTTCTCCTCCTTTACCGGCATGCTACTTTCTTCCAGATCGTATATCGTAGTTTTCCAGCATATGGGTCACCGAGCACAAACCAACAAAAGCCCTGCCCACCTCAGGCCGCAGGCTGTCAACTGCATCTCATGTCCAAACCGTCTCCTTAGCTGATGCAATTACTACCCCCCCCCCAACGGCTGGATGGTCTGTGGTTTCCTCTGCCAAAAGCTTGACTCATTGTCAGAAAGATGTACCACTACGGTACTGCTGCGCCGATACGACCTAGTACGAGTATCAAATGCATGGGCCTGGCATTTGTTTTTCAAGAGAAAACGGCTCCACAAACATCTGGGTAGTGTGTTCGAGTGATGCTTTTTGGAAAAACCATTTGACGCCTGGCAGGGGTTCCCGTTGCAGGCGGTAGGATCTAGTGGAAGTGAACAAATTGGGAAGTCTGCTGCATGCACCGGAATCATAGGTCATTTCATCTGCAGTACGAGTACAAGAGCAATACGAGGGGGGGAATGTTCATATCATAATTGTTCACACTACTCGAGTACCGGTACAGTGCGGAGATGCAGCCCAAGGTAAAAGAAGTCGTGGGGGGGGGGGGCGTATATGATTGGAAAGGGAGGCGCTTTTGGGATGACCGGGTTGTGGTGGGGGAACCCAAAATTTGAATCAGTAAAAATTCATTGGTTATAGGAAGGGGGGCTTTCTTGTGTGACATAAGACTCGGAACTTCTCAATTCCGAAATTTCCAAGATTGGAACAGGCTTTTAAAAACCTTGATGGGGACCGCTTAAGATTTCCCTAAAAGCCTTGGTTTATTGTCCTAGCCCCCAAAAACGGGATACCATCACTTCCCCCCCCCCCCCCCAAAGGATATATATATATAATATTATATACGAACTTTTTGACGTTTCTCTCCGTACCATTTTTATCTCCCCTACACTGGCACTATCCCGCAGAGAGTGGGAGGATACCGGTACCTTCTTTTCATCCCTTCCTTTTCCACAAATACGGGATCTCTAGTTGGACAATTTGGTAACAGGAATTGGCATGTTTAACTCCCCCCACCCCCTTGTTGACTTCCCTGCCGAGGTTCAAAACCTCGCCTATGAAATATCTATTTTCCGCATCTTGCAAATGATAGCCGCTAACATGAATTTCCTTTTTGCGGCATAGGCTTGTCGAAACATTTCCAGAGCCTTGGGGACGACGGTTAGTGGCGTGGACAAAAGTCTTTATAATAAAGACCTCCCACAGTCCTCCGAGAAGCCTTTCTTTGGCGTCATTAGGAATTGCTCGTCCGCTCGCTTTTTCCCTACTACGGTAATCCTTCACAATGTCAGCCGATTCCGACCCCGAGAAGCTCGTCCTAAGTCAGGCCGCGTTAGCCAACAATCAGAACGACCGAGTTTCCGCTACCAGTGAGGGTAATGGCAGTATCAATAACGGCAGCATGCAAGGCGATTTGGATAGGCTCGACTCGCACATTGTCCATGTGAGTGAGGATGGTGGGGAGGATGATCCCTTAGGGCATTTGCCTCCAGAGGAGGCCGAAATCATTCGGAAGCAGCTTGATATTCCCAATATTGATCCCAACTACTTCACCCTCTTCCGCTTTGCTTCTAGGAATGATATTATTATCATTGTGATCTCTATCATTGCGGCGGTTATCGGAGGTGCCGCTATGCCACTTATGACAATCATATTTGGGCAGCTCGGGGGTACCTTCCAGAACTTTATCCTGGGCTATATTACTGCCGCTAAGATGCAATCTGAGCTCAATAGGTTTACTTTGTATGTTTTCCTCTTCACCATCATTTATTACCGTCTTGGGCTAACCTTGTCCTTAGGTATTTTGTATACCTCGGTATTGGTGAATTCGTGACGATATATATCGCTACCGTAGGGTTCATTTACACTGGGGAACACATCTCGCAGAAGATCCGCGAGCAATATCTCAAGGCAATCCTCCGTCAAAACATCGCATTTTTCGACAAACTTGGTGCGGGAGAGATTACGACGAGGATCACGTCGGACACTAATCTAATCCAGGATGGCATCTCTGAGAAGATTGGTCTTACCCTCACTGCTTTGTCCACCTTCTTCACCGCGTTTATTATCGGGTTTATTAAGTCATGGAAACTCACTTTCATCCTTCTGTCTACTGTGGTAGCCATTACTCTTATCATGGGTGGTGGTTCGACCTTCATTATAAAATACAACAAGCAGTCAATCGATTCGTATGCCGAAGGTGGCACCGTGGTGGAAGAGGTCGTTTCATCCATCAGGAACACTACCGCCTTCAATACCCAGGACAAGCTCGCGAAGCAATACGACGATCATCTCCAGGTTGCAGAGAGATGGGGTCTGAGACAAAAGTCCGCATTGGCAGTCATGCTAGGTTTCATGATGTGTATCGTGTATTTGAACTACGGTCTTGCCTTCTGGCAAGGGAGTAGGTTTTTGGTTTCGGGCGATACAAACTTGAGTGCTATCCTGACTGTGTTGCTGGCTGTAATCATTGGAGGCAAGTTGTAACTACTGCTTGCTGCTCCGAGCTATAGTACAAAAGCTAATTGTTTGTTACAGCATTCTCCCTTGGAAATGTTGCGCCAAATAGTCAGGCGTTCGCCACTAGTGTTGCCGCGGCTGCAAAGATTTTCGGTACTATCGACCGTGTGTCGCCACTTGACCCTGATGCTGATGGGGGTGAGAAGCTGAAGCATGTTGAGGGCACTATCGAGCTCAGGAACGTTAAACACATCTACCCATCTCGACCCGAGGTTCCCGTGATTCACGATATGAGCCTTATTGTCCCTGCTGGAAAAGTGACCGCGCTTGTTGGTGCCTCTGGTTCAGGAAAGTCGACTATTGTGGGTTTGGTAGAGAGGTTTTACGACCCCGTTGGTGGCAGTGTATACCTCGATGGACACGATATCAGCCAATTGAACTTGAGGTGGCTTCGGGAGAACATCTCTTTAGTTTCGCAGGAGCCTGTCTTATTTGGAACGACCATCTTCAAGAACGTCTGCCACGGATTGATTGGAACAGAATGGGAAAATGCCTCTGAGGAGGAAAAGCGGGAACTTGTCACCAATGCTTGTATCATGAGCAATGCGGACACTTTTATCAGAAGCCTCCCGGAAGGATATGATACAAATGTCGGTGAACGTGGGTTCTTGATGAGTGGTGGACAGAAGCAGAGAATTGCGATCGCCAGGGCTGTTGTCAGCGATCCCAAGATATTACTGCTAGACGAGGCTACTAGTGCGCTTGATACCAGAAGCGAAGGTGTTGTGCAGGCTGCTTTGGACAAGGCGAGTATGGGACGAACGACTATTGTAATTGCTCATCGTCTGTCAACCATCAAAACTGCTGATAACATCGTTGTCATGTCTGAGGGTACCATCGTCGAATCCGGCACCCATGACGAGCTTTTGGAGAGGAGAAGTGCATATTACAATCTTGTTGAAGCCCAGCGAATCTCGGCTGAAACTGAAAAATCTGCTGTGGCCGGTGACATCTCTCACGCCGACGATGATGAAAAGCTCAAATTGACACTTTCACGGTCTAAGACCAAGGGCCTTAGCGTTGCGGACCCAGGAGATGCGAGCATTGCGGATAAACTCAACAGAACTGCCACGAGCAAGTCGAAGTCCCACATTGCATTGGAGAATAGGGCACCGGAAGCCAAGCCCGAATATGGGCTTTGGGAACTTATTAAGCTTACTGCTTCTTTCAACTCGAATGAAAAGTTTTACATGTTTGTCGGTCTCTTCTTCTCTATCATTGCTGGGGGCGGCTACCCCACTCAGGCTGTGTTCTTCTCAAAGTCCATTGTTGCGCTTTCTCGTCCCCCTTCTGAATATGGCCAACTTCGCAAGGATGCAAACTTCTGGTCCGCCATGTATCTCATGCTCGCCATCGTTCAACTTATCGCCTACCTTTCCCAGGGCCTTGCTTTTGCTTACTGCTCCGAGAGACTCGTCCACAGGGTGAGGGATCGTGCATTCAGGACCATCATGAGACAGGATATTGCCTATTTTGATCGTGAGGAGAACTCTACTGGTGCCCTTACTAGCTTCTTGTCCACCGAGACCACCCATCTTAGTGGTATGAGCGGTGTCACGTTAGGAACGCTCCTCATTGTTACCACCACCCTTGTTGCGGCTATCGCGGTGAGCTGCGCGATTGGATGGAAGCTTGCCTTGGTCTGTACATCGACTATTCCGATTCTATTGGGATGCGGTTACTTCCGTTTCTGGATGTTGGCCAAATTCCAGCGTAGGAGTAAGAAAGCCTATGAGAAGTCTGCCGGTTTTGCTTGCGAGGCTACTGCGGCTATCCGCACCGTTGCTAGCTTGACCCGCGAGAAGGATGTTTGGGACCATTATCACTCGGAGCTCAAGAACCAGGCCCAGAAGAGCTTGGTTAGCGTTCTCAAGAGTTCTACTCTTTACGCTGGTTCCCAATCTTTTACTCTCTTGTGCGTTGCCCTTGGGTTCTGGTATGGGGGTACTCTAATCAAGACTGGAGAGGTAGACTGCCTTTAAATATCACTCGGAAGATGCGATGCTAACTTTTTATAGTACAACATGATGCAATTCTTCTTGGTTTTTGCAAGTATCATATTTGGTGCTCAATCTGCAGGAACCATCTTTTCGTTTGCCCCAGATATGGGTAAAGCCAGACATGCCGCTTCTGAGCTCAAGACTTTGTTTGATCGCAAGCCCGAGATTGATACCTGGAGCGACGATGGAGCGCCTGTTCCGGAGATGGAAGGTAATATCGAGCTCCGCGACGTTCACTTCCGTTACCCCACCCGCCCTGAGCAGCCCGTACTTCGTGGGCTGGATTTGGTTGTTAAGCCCGGACAGTATGTTGCACTTGTTGGGCCTTCTGGATGCGGAAAGAGTACTACCATCAGTGAGTTGAAACCCTCGCCCTGTGGGAGAATATGACCAACTAAAAAAATACAGGCTTGATCGAGCGCTTTTATAATCCACTTGCCGGTGGTGTCTACGTTGACGGCCGTGAAATCTCTACCTTAAACATTAACCAGTACCGCAAGCACCTCGCCCTCGTCAGCCAAGAACCAACTCTCTACCAAGGCACCATTCGCGAGAACATCCTCCTCGGCGGTGACCGCAACGACATCACTGATGATGAGATCACTGCCGCTTGCAAGTCCGCGAATATCTATGACTTCATCCAATCCCTCCCGGAGGGCTTCCAGACTGTTTGCGGTTCCAAAGGTGCTCTCCTCTCTGGTGGACAGAAGCAACGAATTGCCATCGCCAGAGCTCTCATCAGAAACCCGAAGGTTCTACTCTTGGACGAAGCTACATCCGCCTTGGATTCCGAGTCCGAGAAGGTTGTGCAGCAGGCACTTGATACCGCCGCAAAAGGACGAACAACTGTGAGCGTTGCCCACCGTCTATCCACTATCAAGCACGCAGATTGCATCTATGTCTTTGATGCCGGACGAATTGCCGAGAGCGGAAGCCACTCGGAGCTCATGGCTAAGCGTGGAAAATACTACGAGCTGGTCAACCTCCAATCACTCGGGAAAAACAATTAGCCTAGCATTTGCACCATGTGGTAGTTTCCCACTTGCCACCACCTTCTCCCCGTCCCTTCCTTCGTCATATCTTTTTTCCTTAACTAATGGTGGACATGATATCTTTTGGTTCTTTTAATCTCCATTTTGGCTTTTCTCGAGTTTTTTTTTTTTTCCACACTCCCAAAAATCTTTTTCAATTCAAATGCCTTATTACTATTATTGTGGCGGGTAGAGATCTCTTTTCTTTCTCCTGTTTTTATTTGTTGGCGTTTTGGTCCCGTAGATTTTTTTCCTCGCTATTTGTAAGGTATGAGTACTGTACACAGTACACACTTGTATGGATGATTACGATTGTTGTCGCGGCGGAATTTTTAACAGATTGGGTAGGCGTTTGATGGACATTAGTTAACCAAGTCCCGGAAAACAAGAGATTTTGTCAAGGTGTGGAGTTGTGGGTTCTTGGTGGGTGCCTCGCGCCATACTGGGCTGTAGTACCGGTAGTACAAATCTGGAAACACAATACCGGTACCGGTATCATATGTACTCACATTTAAGATGATGGAACGTGGCACAAGTATCATACTCGTACCGTAGCATAGCACATTACACGTGAGAACCCTGCCGCGTGTTACATCCCGACACCGGGAGCAACACACGTGGCGAACCATGAAACCTTCCAAAGTATGGTACGAGTACGTAACATACAAGTATATACCGGTACCGGTACCGTACCGCACTCGAATTAATTTACTCACCCAAGCTACCGTGTAACGCAATACTAGTACACATCCAGGTCCCTCCACCGTTCACCCACCCGCCCACCTTCACCCAACTACCAGCCACCGATATCCCAGCTTGCAACCCCCCAGAAAACCAGTAATAGGGAGTGTGGCACGAGCTCCCGAATTACTACGATAGGGGATACCGGTAGTGTCGGGCGGGGTATGCCGATATACTGGGAGAAGTATCGTGCCATATAATTTGATACGGATAAGGTTCCAACGGGGTTTTGGAACAGGTGGGTTGGTGTTTCGTGGTACTGGATGGGTAACGCCGTGCGCTGAGAGCATAAAAGCACGTGTGACTAGTATGCATATTACGATAGTACTCGTGCAGTACCGGTACTCGAGTACTGTGCGTGAAGCTTTTCTTTCTCCTTTTCTACACACCATTTCCGCGCACGTGACTGTGAATTCACGGGTGATCACTCGGTGGAGGGATATTTGATGTTGATAGGAGGAGAGATGGAATTGGCTATGATGTAACGCAGCGAAACGCGCACGCACACACTCCAGCCGGAAAAGAAATGAAAAGGGAAGGAAATGAAACTCTTGGGCGCGGACTCCAACCTATTTACAACTTGGCACCCAGTCTTCTTCTCGACTGGTAGTGCTATCACCCCCAGTATCATCAGCACATCCCAATTCAGCCACACTTTGAGAAGGCTGGGAAAAAACAAAAGGATACATGCCGGTAGCCCCAAAATCCCTTCTTTCCCATCCCGAATCTCCCTCTCCAACCTGCACTCGATAGGTACGTAATCCCTAACCTGCGGGCCTACGTAAACCTGCCTGGGTCTCCAAATCTTTGGGTTACTCGCCTCGATGGCCTGCTTCCAGTGCGCAAGCCAGCCTGCGACCCTAGGCACTGCAAATAGCACTGGGAAAAAATCCAGCGGAAATCCCAGACTGCGGTAAATCAAGCCGGACCAGTAATCCACGTTCGGGTACAGCTTCTTTTCCACAAACCAGGGATCTGCAAGGGCGGCGTCTTTGAGTGCAGTAGCGACTTCAATGAGTGGCTCGTGGCCGCAGGCTGCGAACACGGTTTCCGCCACCTCACGAATGATCTTGCTACGCGGGTCGGTGTTACGGTAGACTCTATGGCCGAAGCCGAAGAGGAGTTCCTTCTTGGCCTTGACGGCAGATATAAAGGCCGGGATGTTCTCCACCGCCCCAATCTTCTCGATCATGCGGATGACCGCCTCGTTCGCGCCGCCGTGTAGCGGGCCGTAGAGCGCTGCGGCGGCGGCCGAGACGGCCGAGTAAGGATCCACCAGGGAGGAGCCCACGTGTGTCATCGCCGCGGTCGAGCAGTTCATTTCGTGGTCCGCGTGCAGGATGAACAGAGCCTCCAGCGCTTTGGCTAACCTCGCGTCCGGCTTGTAGTTCTCCGCGTCGGACGTGGCGTCCATCATGTACAGCATGTTCTCGGCGAAGCCCATGTCCGAGCGTGGAGCGATGAAGGGTCGGTTCATGCGCACGCGCATGCTCGCCGCGGCGACGGTGGCAGATTTACCGATTATACGGATGATGTTTTTGTTCATTATGGCTTTGTCGTGGATGTACAGGTTCCGACCCTGCAGGGCCGGGTTTGCCTCCGGGGCGAAGGCGCCCATTGCTGCGAAGGCGGAAATGAATACCGACATGGGATGGGAGTCTGTCGTAGTGTGTTAGCGCTAGGGTAAGGTGGGAAGGAGTGGAGGGGCTAACCATATCTCATACTCCCAATAACCTTCGCAAGATCGTCCGCAATCTCGGTATGATGCATCACCTCAAACTTCCATATCTCGCTCTGGCTCTTACTCGGCAGCTCGCCGTAGATGAGCAAGTAGGCCGTTTCCAGAAAGTCGGATCTCTCCGCGAGTTGTTCGATAGGGTACCCCCTGTGCATCAAGAAACCCTTACCACCATCGATAAATGTGATCTTGGAGCTTATGGCAGCAGTGTTGAGAAAGGCTGGATCAAAGACACGAATCCCGTTGGTCGTGTCGTCGGTGTCCACACCATCCTTTGTCTCCGGAATCTCGCCCTTGAGGGCTTTGAAGGCGGTCGCGGGAATGGAGTTGTGCGTTATGGGGATGGTGATTGTTTTGCCGGTTCGATTGTCGGTTACTGTTAGGGTATTTCTATCCGCTGGTTTGGGGCTACGGAGGTATTAGCTTTGCAGGGTATAGTGTAGTAAATTGAAGTGAGGAAATAAATCTCTTACGCAGGAGGTGGAGGAGCCATAGCTGTGGTGGTAGAGGTGAGCGCAGCCAAAGATCCGCAGAGAAAACAAGGGGGAAAGAGGGAAAGGGGGAAAGCAAAGAAGACGCCAACAGATCTTTAATACTGTACTCGAGTACCGGTATTACTGTAGTACGAATAAGCCCCGGAGGAAGAAATGTGGATGTGAGGGGAGGGAAACGGGAAAAAGAGCGGACGAGAGGAACTCCTATGATATTATTATGTCATCCCTAGGCTCGTGATGGTAGCAGCAAAAGAAAAAGCAAATCCCAGTCAGGGTCCCAAGCAACGGGAAGTTACCGGCAATGGCCACAGAAGTCGGTCATAAAAAGCAAATACTCGAGTAAAGTGTGCCGAGGTCCAGCTCATGACGGACACTGCTGACTGTCGCCAAGACTTTGAAGGGGAACTGAGGAGCGGCGTAACTCTGGTCCCCAAAAGGATCTACCGATGGCCGTATGATCAGTTTCCTTGCTCGTGATAGTGGCAAGGATGATTTATTCCTCTAATTTGTACGGAGAGGATAGGGACCGCTCTATGATAATATATATCACACATAGAGTGAATATTGAATATTATGTGAATGTTTTCTGGGAGGCGGGGAAGTTGAAGACTGGCGGTCGCGAGTTCGCACAGGTGCGCGTCAAGGGGCGCAGGTATGGCATCATTTGGTGATGTGCCATCGTATTTCAACTACCTATAGCTAACATATGGCTTCCGTCCAAAGAAAAGTCTATCTTATCATCACTCTCTAAGGTATCTCCCGAAATCATATAATCTCACTCGCAATACGACATACAACGCAAGATATCCGTATTATGCTATAGCCCTGCTGGATGCGACCCCGTTCCAAGGGAACCCCCTAGGTCTCCTTCGTAGTCATCTCATTCACCCAAACAGCAGCTTTCTCCGCCATAATTTCCCCATGCGCTACCCCCGAAGCCATGTCAGTGGTGCATTTTACATTGCGAGCAAAACTCGGAGAAGCTCACAAATGCAGAACCCGTGGGGCAGCCCGTCCTCGCAAACAACCATCTTCACACCGGTACCTCTGGCTTCAAGCAGTTTCTCTCGCGTCTCTTCGGCAACCCAGTGATCCTACATCCGATCAGCTTCCATACCTGACACGTCGAGGGTGGCTTGTGGTTACGTTTCTTCCAAAATAAAACACGAGAGATGTATCATTGCATCTCCATATCTCCTCACCCCATGCGTCCTCGGTGATGGTTTCCATTTCTTCTCGTGCTAGCTCTAGGGCCTGGAAAACCATCCCAGGGGTAGTGAGGAATGTGCCTGTGATGCTAGCAGCAGAAGGTGGTTGGAGGGTCACTGCTTTCAGGATGGTGTTAAGAACTGGGACTGGGAGGAGGGCGAGAGCTCGAGCAGTTGTTGCAGCGATGGAGGGGAGGGGTGGGATGTAGGATAGGATAGACTACCGTAGGGAGCATTAGATCTTAGAACGGTAGTGGCTGATAGGGAGGGGGAAAACATATAAAAATAGTAATGGAAGCCTCTACTATTATCTACCATATCTCCCGAACAGCGCGATATCACTTACAGTTAGTAGCCGTCCACTAGGACTCTTCCCAATATCGACTATGGTAGGAAACAACCCCACCCCCCCAACAACCTCAACCTTCTCACCCTCTTGTTTCAATTGCCGAATCATCTCCATAAACACGTATCCACCCACAGAGTGACCCATCAGCAAAACCTTATCCCATCCCTTCTCCTCCGCCAACCATCGGATGACCTCAATCTTATGTCTAACCTGATCACCCAGCCCCCAATACCCCGGGGACGTCGGCCTTGCGCATGTCTGCCGCGGGCAGAAGCCACTATGCGAGACAGCGAGGATGGGTAGCTTTGCGAGCGCACTGAGAGTCGAAAGGTAAGCTACATAGTACTGTATCAATCCGGGGTTTCCAGGGACAAACAGAATGTAAGGTTGGGCAGGATTAGGGTTCGGAGAGGGGAAGTAGAGGGTTTCGAGAGGTGGGAGGTTTGTGGGGAGGGGGAATGGAAGTGGGGTTGGGGTTGAGGCTGACATTCTTGAGGAGGTTTGTTCATTTTGAGGGAAAGGGCGAGGATGGGAGTAGCGAGCTGGGTACGATTATCTTATCAGATCGGGGCCTTGATCATCCAACCTCACGAATTCTAGTCGATCATAGTCTACAAGTGGTGCATACCATAATTATACTTGAGGAGTACTGTACACCACTGGTACCGCGGTTTATCTGTAATTACAGGCCAGTACGGTACTGGTGTGTAGCGATAATCCTTCCTCTGCATTCACTCGGGTACAGCACTGTGTGCGGTGGAATATCCATAGGTCTTGACCTCCGAATTTTCATACACTGCATAAACTATTACCAACCTTGGCTCCATAGGTGGGGGATAATCTTGGAGGCTGGGAAATGTCGATCATTGTCCCAGCCTCATACTTCGTTCGTCACGTTATCCGTCCCTTATCCGTCCCCTTCCCACGAAGCTCATTAGAGCTGTTCTACGCGTTCACATGGCGGTTGGAGATGCCTTATGTACTAGCATACCGGTAGTGCCGAGTACGCAAAAACTATCGTTAACCAATGAAAGCGGGGAAAGATGGAGGTCTTGTCCAGTTGAAATCTTAATTATGATATCCTGTGCGGGGATGTGAAATGGGATACTTTCATATGCATGCTTGGTATTGCGCGTGGGGAAGCGTGAGGAGTAGCAGGAGTGCTGTGGAGAGAGGGGAAGGCAAAGTGATAATAGCGGTGATGTTTGGGCTTAGTTCACCTGAGTATCAGGTAGTGTGAGGCGAAGGAATAACAGAATTCTACATCCTGTATCATGGTGTATCATACTCTGCACGGGTATGAGTTGCGTCGAGGCTTCGGATGGGGGAGTGAAGGGTTCTCGCTCTTGCCAAGGCTTCGCCTCGCAAGGATGGCTGAACCCTTGCTTGGCTTTTCCTATCGTGGCCAAAGGTAAACAAGTGGGTTGTGGGACAGCTGGCTTGCTGATCCTGCTGCTGGTTGGCTGTATGTGAACCGCTTCTGGAAGCGTGCTGTCAGTCGTGAACTGAAGGTTTGTCAGTCTCGAAGCGGTGGTGGATTCTCTCCCTCACTCCTTCTCTCGCACGCACTTGCTATGCCCGTTCCCAATCATTTCGTAGCTCTCTGAACCCAACCTCCTGCTCCTCCTATTCCCCTTAATTCGTTTGCCATACAACCATCAATCCTTACTGCCATCATTCCCCCTGCTAAGCCAGCCTCCCCCGCCATCCAGTTTTTCTATAGACCCTGGATAGTCTATCTTCCCACCTTGCGGCAGGATTCCTTCCTTCTTTCCTTCAGCAATCTTCCAAACCATCGACCGACTGTGGTTCTTTCAAAGGTTTCCTGAGCTATTGGTCCTTGACCCGGTAGCCCAAGGACACCTCGTAGGTAACAACCATCCTTGATCCGCGAACTCCTTTTTTACTTTCGAAAAAGGTATCCTCGTTAATCATTGGCGTTTTTTTTTTTTTAGGTGCGTTCAGCGTACTTACCATTTAGGTAGTAGATTTGTTGTTCATTTCCTGTCTTCCTGTGTGGAGTGTGTACGGCAGCTCATAGTTTACCCACGCACCACGGGTCCGGAACAACTGCTCAGGAGATAGGTCCTGGCGGTTGTTGAAATTGGGAGAATAAACGCCTAGACTTGCACCCTATAATTTTTATAGCCAGTGGGAAGTTCTCACAGGCTCAACAGAGACGACGTCGTGCACGTCGAAGTCTACCGCCTAATTTCATCATGGCTACTCGTCACCTCCCAATCAGAGACCTCCACCGTACTAATGCTATCATGTTACCCGACAATCCTATACCGCTCCCCCCTCCCGATGATACATCCGCAACCGCCACAACTGCTTCTATCACTCCCACCTCCATTTCCCCTTCTGTAGACTCACCTTCCCCTACCGTCCAGGTCACCCCGAAGAGACCGATAGCAAGCATTCCCCCCGCAAGCCTTGCACCAGCTGTCTCATTCACTCGGCCCCCGGCGACGGATCCACCTATCTCATCCCCTTTAGCGCCCCATCAAGGAAATTCTTGGGATCTTGAAACATCTTATCCTGGTAACGGTGCGAGATTCACAAGCATCCCCATCACTCCCCCTCGTGGCTCAGCTCAAAGCAATACTCGACGTCTCCCACCTGGCAGCGTGGGCCAGACCCCCCTCGCTCCTGGCAGAGAGTCTTCACCGAGTCGTCTCTCAACAATATCAGCTCTTGCTGGATCACAATTGTCGCGGGTAGCTTCGGTGAGGCATACTCGGTCTCATTCAACTCCAATGGGATTCACCGGGGATAATCGAGGAAAGCATAAACGCCAGCAACAACAACAACAACGGAACACCGCTGGATTATTCTCCTCCATATTCACGCCGTCGGCTAAACAAAGTCCTCCGGAGAGACAGGATCCTCCACCTTCGTCGTTACGGGCTGTTGCGTCATCTGCCTCTGCTTTAGCTTCAGCAATGGGAACCCCAAAGTCTGGTAACAAGGGGTTCTTCAACTTTGCGTTTGGAAGCTCGAATCAGCCAAATTTATCGCCGTCGTCTCGCTCGTCCACTCGGGCGCTTTCGCCAGATCGTGATACATGTCTGGTCGATGAGTTTGCTGGTATTTCCTTCCGTGCATTGCTACAGCCGTATACTCTTGAGCCTCTGGGGACACCCGAGACTCCTGAGGAAGCGCTGAAGCGAACCCCCGAGGGGCGTTTGGGAGAGCTTTGCGAAACTGCTGGGGATTTGCTGGAGCGGGTTTATAAAGCGTACAAGGCCCGGACGGATGCGCTTTCGGATGTGATGGACCAGCAGGCGGAGGATCAGGATTTGTTAGAGGAGTCGAAGACGAAGACGGCAGGATACAAGCTGCAGTTGGAACGACTCACTACGGAGGAGAGATTAGCAAGGGAGGAGCAACAGTTACGGCTCGCAGCATACGAAAAGCGGATAAGAGATCTAGAAGATGAACTATGCCGCGAAAAGGCCAAGGTGCAGGACCTTGAACAACGGGCTGCGGTGGCCAACCGAAAGAAGCGCACAAGTGCAGCCAGCGACTCTGGCTTTGAAAGCGACGCAGATAGCCTATTCTCCATTCGCGAGAGGGACCGCATGGCCAGTCCCGTAGACTCATTCCTGGACACTGGCATCGATGAAACCTCCTCCACAACCTCCACCTCAACAGTCACAACTTCCACTGCCTCTGCTGCACCATTAAAATGCGACTCTTGCGCCAAACTCCTCCACCCCATCTCCTCCGCGTCTTCCACTGCAAGCATGAGAAACCCTACACCGCTTAGCCAAGCTTGGGCCCCCTCGAACAATAGCAATAACAATAACCCAACATCAAAATGGGGCTTCGCCGCTGCCCTCAGAGGGAATAGGCAGACGGGTGTCTGGGGAGGAAGTGACGCGGAAATTGTCCGTCAGGAGAATCGTATGCTTAGGGCTCGCGTGGGTGAACTTGAAGTTGTAGTGGACGACGTGTTGGAAGTTGTTGCTGGTCGTGGTGTTTTTTAAATTCCTTTCTTTTCCAGTCTTTCATCGAAAAGTAGTAATGACACTACTTTTTTTACCTCAATTTGTTGGATTTTTCTTTCTTTTTTCCCCCTACATTGGTGGTTACGGAGTTGGGGTCTTTTCTTTCACTTTTTTCTTTCTTCCTTTGGGTGAATTTGCTTTCTTCCGCCCTTTCACCTCCTAGGAACACTGGGGTGGATGGATTCTTGTGCATAACTTTGTCTTTCCCGGCTGTGACCTTTTTCCTTCCCTTGTCTGTTGCTGGGTATTTGGATTTTCCGTCATGTGATGGATTATCTCAATTATTTTGATCAGAAGTGCTTAAGCATAGTTCCTATGGTGCCACTGGTACGGTACGGAGCGCCTAGCTTGGATTTCCTCTGATTTTGAATTGGATTACGTTGCAACTGTTTTTTTTACTTTGACGAAATTGACAGCGAATTGGGGGAGAGGGGTGCCGGTGCAATATATTTGTGGTGGGGAATTTGGTTATAATACTGTGCTAGGGTGGGCTGGGTTTTGTTTCGAGGGTGTGGAACTCGGGAATATACTCTATAGATTATGGCACAGGCAGGGTCTACACGAGAATAAAAAAGTATTTTTTCCAAAAAAAATAAGAGAAAGAGAAAGAGAGAAAGGCATTTAACAATCCCCGAGTGACACAACAACACAACATGCCCCCGAGTGATCACGCATGTCCCTCCAACAAAGACTCTATCTCCTCACCCGTTTATTAGTTCCTGCCCCCACCTTCCCTCTTACTCTATCCTGTTCCCCGTCCTCCCCTTCCTCCTCCTCAACCTCCGCATAAATAGTCCTTGGCTGTGTCTCCCTCCACGCAGCCGTAAACACCGGCTCCCTCTCCGCCACATCCGCATACTTTAGCAACGCCTCTCTAGGATCCTCATCACGCATACTACTCAACCCAATACTCCTCTCAATATGCGCCTGATCCGGCTGGCTCTTTCCCCACGGCGTCTGTGCCGGCATTACCGGTCTACGCTTATCCATCACCCCGCCCTTCTTTCCGAGCAGAGCATTGGGAAGGATCACCGAGTCGCCGGAAATGGTGGTTAAATCTGTTGTTGTGATGCTGGAGTTGTTGTAATCGTCGATGTGGCGCTTCCGCGGGGCGCGCGCGAGGAGGGTTGTTGCGCCCTTGCGCGAGATGGTGGGGGAGTACAGGATGTGCAGGTGCCCGTGGCCGGAGCCGGTTAGGATTTGGTTTATGTGGGAATGCCAGGTTATGCTAGTCAATGGAGATGGGGTGGTGGGGGTGGGGGTGGGGGTTGAGAGGGGGTGGGTTTGCTCGGAGGTTAGGGTTGCTGAGGAGAGGATATGAAGGGTGTTGCTAGTATCGCCGGTTAGGAGGGTGGTGTTGTTGGTTGGGGAGAAGATTATGGGGGTAGGGGTTGGGGTAGGGAAGTTTGAACGCGTGGTTATGGGCGTTTTGAGTTTGCGGGTGTCCCAGACTATATCATTGGGCATTTGTTAGCTTTGTTAGTTATGAGGAGGTGGTGGGGGCAGCTAACGTTTTATGTATTGGTCTTCACCCATCGTCGCGATCAATCTCCCGTCGCTAGAGAATGTTAGACCCCCGGTCCATGTCTCCTTAGCGTGTGCGTCTCGCACTTCCATTATCGGCCTGGAATACGGACCTCCGGCGTTCCAGATACTCAGTACCCCATCCAGTGCCATAGTCCCAATCATCCCCCCACCCGCACTCCCCACACCCCCGCTCCCACTGCCACCGGTAACCCCACCGCACCAGGCCACGGCACAAATCCTACTCCTCCCGCCCTTCCCCCTGCTTTTATGAACCATAACATCCCTATGCCCCCTGCGGCTCTGGACATCCCAGATCCTAACCGTCGAGTCCGTCCCCGCCGTCACGACCACGCCCCTCTGTACAGGGCTCCAACACCCCCCAGTAATCTCACTGACGTGTCCCTTCGTATTGTGCATGTCGCGGAGGTACGGATCACCCTTGACGAACTCCAGCGCCGTGTCTCCGTCCCGCGTCAGTATCTTTGCCTGCGGTGCCGCCGGCACGACAAGTAGGTGCTGGCCGTTGTCCAGTGGGGAGAAGGCTACAGAGTGGATGTGGTGCGCTTCGCTCGGTTCCAGCGTCTTGAAGGAGTGCAGATGCGTGGTCGACATGGCGTGGAAGTCAAAGAACTTGATTGTCGTGTCATGGCTGCTTGTCACAAAGCGCGTGCCGGATGGGTCGAGGGTTATGCTTGAGATAGGTTTCGTGTGTGCTGGGATTGTGAGTTCGTGGGAGAGGGGGTATTCTTCTTCTTCGCTATCGTCGGAGTCGGAGTCCGAGTCTTGTGGTGGTTTGGCTTTGGGGGGGGGAGGGGCGGCTCGACGGGTCTGCTCGACGCGGGCTTTCACATCCCGCTCCATCGTCTGCTTTCCGAAGGACTTTGGCAGAAAAGCGCGCATCGGGTCGTCTGGCGCTAGGCCTGGTTCTTCGATTGTGGGTTCGTTGTCGCTGCCCGCATATTCTTCTTCGCCGGGTATGGGCTTTAGTGACATTTTTGCTTCGTGTCGCAGTATGTACCGTATTGAAGTTGTAGTTTTTTATTATTATCGCTGTTGTGTCCTCGTCACGTTAAGATGGATGGAGGTGAAGGGAGCTCTCGCAGCTTGTCCCAAGTTGAGTTAGCTTTTAACCTTCGAATTTAGTATCGTACCGTATCACGGACTAGCTCGGTATCATCAGCTAAGCCTTTTCCTCCCACCAGCCGGGTAATTCCCCGACCAACCTGCAACTTTCCCGCACCCATAAACATTACGGTAACTTAACTATTGTATCCTAGAAGTCCTCCAAAAAATCCACCCTATCGAAATCACCAAATCAAACAATGACACCCCGCCCCCCCTTCGACCCACAAATCCTCTTAAAAAAGCCCACCCGGCCAGATCCTTGGGCCCGAGCGTCCGTTCCCTTCCCCGCCTCCAACCTCCAAAAACTAATTGAGATGAAAAAAAATTAGGGAAACATGGCGCTACACTGGCCCCTTCACCCGCTGGAACCGATTCAAGGGTGCTTTCCCTGGTCTAGGTATTGCTACGGTTGCGTTCGCGACGTATTGCGCTTACGAGGCGTTGTTCTTGAAGAAGGATGAGCATCATGGGTGACATCGTTCGGCGGTGGAAGAAGGGGTTGTGGGGTTGGGACTGCTTGAGCTGCTGTGGATGCTGTTGCTGCTGGGGGGATGTGTGTATTGTTTGGGGGTTGAATTGAATTGGATAGAATTTGGTGATTTTGCGGTAGTCATATCCGGGGGGTGGAAGTGTTGGTGGGGAAGGGGGAGGGAGGTATGATATTAAAGTGGATATCGCCATTCCATAGCTATACATATGCGGCCTAACAATTTGCAAAGGCAGATGCATAAGAAATAAGAAAAGGAAGGTTTGTCGTAAACTCAGGTATCTACTAACCAATACTTTAAAACACGCAACAAACGCCCGCCAAAAAAAACCCCAACAGAAAAGAGACCCCAACCTCTGTACAGAGAGGCAGCAACTAAAGACCTGTCCAGGCAAACCAAGCTGCCATTCCCAAAGTCCATATCCACCCCCCACCCCCAGAAATCCAATTCCATTTCCTCTCGGCAGAACTCAAGAAATACACCGCCCCGAGGAAGCTACAAGTCACGTCCCCTTTCAAGTCCCTAGCGCCATAACTCTGCATCATCCCCCAACTCTCCGATCTAGGGCACTGGAAGCCCAAACTGCTGGGGCAGCTCTGCACAAGTGTCCAGCAGAGGTCCATACATGGCTTAACCTCCTTATACGGCCCCGGACGAATTATCTGGTCGATTTTAGCGTTCCGGGAGGACTTCGTGTGTGTCGTGTTCGCACCATCTAGTGGGAGAGGGATATCAGTGATGTTGAACGGGTGCGTCTGATTTTTCCCCGAGGATGCATTGTAGAACATTTCACCCACAGCGCGTTCGGCTAGGTACGGTAGTTTAGAGGAAAAGTCCATGCACCGCGGGATGGTCACTGCGCATAACCAGTTTTTGTACGCGGCGTCGCAGTCTGCGCAGCTTCGGGCGAGGGAGTACTGTGCGGAACTCGATGCGTTGCACTGGATTTGTTGGAGGGAGTAGGAGAAGTTCTTGTACCAGCTTTTGGCGATGTCGTCGTAGAAATTTGTTAGGTTGTCCATGTTAAAGAGTGTGGGATTCGAAGGTACCGCGTAGGCTACCTCGGAACAGAACGGGAGGTTGTATATGATCTGGCAGTTTCCGTCCTTCTTCGTGTTGATACGCATTGCGCGCCAGAGGGTCCCCGAGGTGTCAGAGGGGTTTGTAGAGTTCGGCCGGGCGAGATACCCAAAGTAAGCACTACTCCTATTCAACTCCTTCAAATGGAATTGCTGCTTCGGAAGGTTCCCGAGACCCCGTCTGGTCATGCTGACATCTAAGCTTCCGGGGCGAACCTGTGCCAACTTCGTGACGGCGCAGTAACTCCTCTCTAGGCCCTGAAACCTACTACTCACACCCCTATTCTGAGCATACATCAGGTATGGCGGTGGTCTCCCCATCAGTTCATCCCCTCCGACCTCTTCATCTACACCTCCATCAGCAGCAGATCCCGTAGTCATGTTCCCCGTAATCAACAACGCAGCTTCATTATCTGAGTCGACAAGGTAGAGGAATTGATCCTCGATATATCCATGATACTGTTTTCTCGTAGATAACACCAGTTCATAATTCCATATCCCACTCCACTGAGTCCCATCCTCAACATCCGGTGCATAAACCCCGACCCAGATCGACCCAGCTGCATTAAACGTGAAATTCGCATACCCCAGCATCACAGGAATTGAAATCTGCGGTCTATCCAGAACCCCCGGACCAGGCGCCTGGTTTGAACTACTATTCGACAAGTACAGCGCCAACTGCGGCAGCTTCGGAACGTCCTCGTCATTATCACCGCCCCCAGCTGTTTCGCCGGTGTTATTACGCTGAGGTTGCAGGCAAGTGTTGAACGTGAGATAGACCGTCCGTGACCTTTCCCCCCCCCCGTTGTCGGCACCACCCTGCCGTTTCCTCAATTCGCCCGCAGGCCCTCCCCTCTTCTTAGAACTAATGCTGTCGTCATCGTCAATGAACAACTGACTCGGCTCCAACACCCAGTAATTTATCTGTCCAAACTCAAGATTGTAAGACCCCGGTACACTATTCCCTAACCCCCTGACTATCTCATTCTCTCTTCTGAAAACCCCGGCTTCCCCGCCAAAGGAGTCGAAGCCGAATTCAAAGTCAGAGTGGGAGTATGCTGAGCGCGGGTATGCCACGAAGAAGAGTATCACGACCAGCAGCGTTGTCGCGACTAACGAGGCGGCGAACTTGGACTGTAGGGGGCTGAGCGGTATGCCCCAGCTACAGGATGGCATCTCTAAGATCCGTAGAGCAGTGGTGGTGGTGTAGTGGTGGTGGTGGTGGTGGGTAGTAGGATGCCCTGATGTACGCCAGCGCGGTAGGGGCTAGTCGTTTTTTTTGTGCTTTTTTTTTTTTTGCGGGTGCGGGATGCTACGTCAAAAGCATTGCCGATAGGGGAGGGATAGTTATTGAACAGAAAATTGGCGCAGTGAATACTTGGAGGTCTCTCCCTGCTCGAGCACAGACGAAGGAGCTTGGCGAGGACGGACGGATAGTAGGGAGGTCGGCACCTGGACTGGTTTATATGCACATAAACCACACCCGCAGATAGACAGCACAATCCAGCTGAACCTTCTCTTTCGCAATCGGTTTGGATGGCTCGCTCCGCCAGTAAGTCTTGTGGAATCTGACAGGTTGTGGGAGGACCTTCTTGAGTGATGGGAAGTTTAATAGGGTAGGTTCCTTCTCGCGCGGTCAGTGTATGACACGATAAAATGTGCATTCGATCTGCCAAGACATTCTCGTGCTCGTGAGCCGCTGGCTGCTCTCTGATCTCCTACATGGAAATCACCTGTGGTGTGAATACCTACTCGGGTACGGTACTCGAGTACTGGAGTTTACCATATCCTACCAATACCAGCGGCTAGGTTGCCATTACGGTAATACACCACTGTATCATACAAACATTTGAAAATGTTCCAAAAACGTTGAGTTTCATTTATTCGAGTTCGCAATTGATATCGCTTCCCACATTGCAAAATAACCAAGAAAGTGTAAAGAAAGAAGAGAAAGAGAAGAGGGTGATTATTACACTACAATACTCGATACACATTTTGGAAAGGGGACACAAACCAGCCTCCAAAACGTGCGATTCGACAGTGGAAAGGGATATGAGAAAAACGTAGTTGACCGGGCTCCAACCTGACACCTTCCTTCCCCAAGCTGTGCTTGCCCATGCCGGCGAGGGAGAAGGGGAGGGGAAGGGAAGGGAAGAGAGAAGGGAAGAGAAACTTAATCAGAATAAGAGAAAAGAAGAAACCCTGTAATAGCGCAAGGAGCGGGACGTCATGAGTTATGACTCAGACACATAGAGAGAACTCAATGGTGTACTCCGTTAGTATCTAGCTTTTTCCCCATCAGGCCCTCCATGTACTTTTCGTAATCAAATCCTACTTCACCATCTTCAGCCCGGACCTTTGGCATCGTCGAAACCAGCTCCTCGATCATGCCGTCCGGAACCAAGCTGTGCCTCAGATCAAATTCAGTGACATAAGGCTTTCCATCTGCCACTTCCTTAAAGCTCTGATATACCTGTTCAGCGCTATTCTGGTCCTCAGTAACCTCAACCATGAACCTGATGAACTGCTCGAACGTCACACTGCGGCCTCTAGCAGATACTTCTTTGAAGACTTCGTGCATTTCCTCCTCGTCATACACTAACCCGAGTGATGCCAGGGCCGCTGAGAACTCTATTTCTTGTAGCGAGTTGGAGAGGTCGCGATCGAAGTGACGGAACACTGATTCAAATTCCTCCAGCTGGATTGGGGTCAGGTTGGTCATACTTCTTGCTACGATCTACCTCGCCTCTTAGCTTTCTGGCCTCCTAATAGCCAACCCCCCCCCGGGGGGACGGAGACATACTTGGTTATCCAAAAAGCTCAACTTCTTCGCCACACTCTCTTTCGCAAGCCCATACTCATACTCAAGTTCGTCATAGGAATAAACGGTGTAGTCGTTTTCTTCGATATTGGCCTCTTCACAATCGTCCGAGAGCTTCTCGATTCTGTTCAGCTCTAGTTCCAACGGTATTATGTTCCGATGCAATGTTCGTACGATGCGTAATTGATGCTATAGGTATATTAGCCTCAACCACAAACATGAAGAATTTTGTCCCAGCAGCCGTGCATACCTCAGGATCCCCGTCTAGCTCGCTAATCTGCAGTGAAACGGTGTTTAGGCATAGGGCAAACTCATTGGCTGCATCTGCAAATGACCGTCTCAACCCCTCCTTGATACTAAACCCATGAAATTAGAACTGCTCAGTTCATTGTGCGACCGACCGAAATCGTACTTACTCGCGAATCTTTTCGTTAATCACAATACTCCGTTTGTTCTCGTCTTGCAGCAATTTCTTCCATTCCAGATCCAAATTGGCCAGACTCAAGTGAGCCGGTGGTTCGTAGTCCTTCAGTCGGTACGTGCTAAGTTTGGTCTTAATATTTCCCAATAGGGAGACAAGATCTGCCTTCTCGGCCACCCATGCTCGCTTTAGAGTACGCTTGTATGATGAAAATTTCTGAGATTGTTGCTTAGCGTCGAAATATGTTCCAACGAAGGTAGCTGTGGACCATTGCTGTTTCATCTCGTGCATTTGCCGCAGTAACTAATGCCTCATAACCCAAAATGTTAGCACCCGATAATTTAAAGGATCATTTGGGGGGTATACCTCAGCCATTCTCTTTTCATAGCCGTGCTGCATTTCCCAAGCTCCCTGCATTACTTCCACAAACTTCTCCACTCTTCTTCCCGCTGTCTCAATCCTCTCGAGTTGTGAAAATGCATGGAACCAGTAGGCGATATAGGTCACCAAACTGCGCTCGTCAGGTTTCGCCACATCACAAACATCCTCCACATCGAGCAGTGCAGGAATTCCAATCTCCTCGGTGGCGATTTTGAATGCTAACGCTGTATTGCCTTTGTGATCTGACTTGTCAAGAGCATCGTAATCGATTAGATCTGGCCGATGGAAATCTAAGAGTGCACAGCTAAATTTTCATGTTACGTGAGTAGTCGGGAATCCCGCAGGAGCAGGGCCAGACGTACAATGCTAGGCCATTGTTCCAGCTCGTAGAGAAATCGGTTATATCAATTTCTTCGTAGCATGCAGTCTTGCGCTTACACCAAAGCAATAGGCCTTCCTTTGCGGTCAAGCCTTCTGCGCTAATTTCCGGTGCGCTCTCAGCATCAACTCTCTCATTCAATTGTGCGGACACTCACTTGATGTCGGCGATGGTAAATCTCAAAATCAAGGTCCACAATAAACCTAAAATAAGTTTCAAATTTCCGTCTACTATATCTTCTGCTCCAATGTTAAACAGTTGAATCCCTCTGCCACGAATATATTCGAGAGCTTTGTGAACATTCTCGCATTTTTGAACCCGTAGTCGTGGATTAGACGCATATTTTCCTAGAGACTCATTGCCGAGAATTTCGAGGAGATGGATCAATAGTACCTTCAAACCGTCTGCCGTTAGTGGTAGCTCCGGGGTTAGGGGTGGTGGGGGGGGGGGAAGGTAGTACTCCAGTAGCTAGGTCCTTCTGCAAAGATTGTGCGGGGGGGATGTTTCGAGCAGATAGCTTTGTATTGAGCCTGTTTTTTGTCGATGGATCGTCAATGTCAGTGAGTGTGACTAGCAAAACATCTCATATCGCGCCGACGCCTCCCCTGGATCGGGTAGTGGGGGGGGGATAGACGGGGAGGAGGCACGAGGCTCACAAGTGAGGGACGGATGGAATCGCCGACTCACCACTTCCTGAACGTCTTATCCTGCGTAGTGATCCACTGTTGTTGAGCCATCTTTCCTTTCTTTCCTCAACAAGAACTTCTCTGTAAGAATAGGTACAGTATTCCCTCTTCCCCCAAGGTAGCGGTGATGGTTAAGAGGGGAGTGTGGGCGAACCAAGGTGAATGAAGAGCTTCGTTCGTTGCTGCTGAAATTTCCGTTGTCGCTGGCAACCGTTTCAACCTGCTTTCTGGCCGCTTCCCCTGAAAGAGAGTGTTTGATGCAACAAAGCAAATAAATTTAATCGCGACAACATCCCAATAGGGAAAAGGTTACTGTGGAGCACAGGGCCCTACCGGTTAACAGAAGGGAAGAGGGGATCTAAGTGGAGAGTGTCCTCGCCTGAAATTAGGATCGACCGAACCGAATGCAGCTGATCAAATCCCCGTTTCCGGAGTGTAGGCTGGGACCCGGGCGACTTGACCGGTTGGCTGGGGGGGGCATCTTGAGCTGACTTTGGACCCTAACTTACCGCATTGTGCGTGTGCCCCCGATTAGACTATACTTGTACGAGTACTGTATTGACGCAAGATGTCTACCGGTATTATCATACTCGTACAGCACATTGGACATCTAGTGTAGTTGTAATTTCTCCGCTCTTTCCTCACCAACCCTATTACGACGGAGCAACATCATAAATTTTCCTATATGCCTTCAATCAAACCAATTTTTAACAAGCACTGTACTTGTATGACCAGAGTGGGGGGGGGGGCACAGATAGGCACTGTGCCACCAAGGACTCGCACCCCGGATCACACTGCGACACTGTATTGTTAGTATCATACCGGTATCATATCCTGAGACATGGATTCGCTGGCTGCCAATACCTTGTAAACACCCAAGCATCGGTTTCTTAGGGATCACGAGAAACATTGGGTTAGGGTTTTATGGTCAGTGCACTATTCCGGTCCGGTGCATACCGTGCCGTATGATACCGGTGCTCGGGTACTGTACTAGTACACATATTCGAGTACTTGAGTATCACCGATGGCGCATTTGAACTGGCGCTGCACTGCACCGGTAATCTGAGGCGCGGGAAACCCATTCGCAAGGCATTGCTCCAAGCATGCCCCGCACCACGATGCTCTTCATACCCCCACTCGTACCACTGCGCATCATGCTTGGTTCGCGGATAAACGCGGTTCCCTGCTTTGGGCGATGAGGGATGGCTGACATTCCGTGCTCGAGCTTAGGCTCATCCAGCAATTTCGTACTGAGAGCCAATGCTGGGTTTTCCTTTGAGTAGTGGTGCGTGACAGTATCGCGCTCGAACCTGTCTGCTGCGGAACCCATTGCTGGGTATCTCTAGCACGGAGTTACCGCATCTGGATGTTGAGAGAGTATTTGTCGGTATGAGTTCTTCCTGGCATCAACCGGGGGCATAGCAGGCGAAATCTCACGACGCTGGGCGTTCCAATCCCAAGGCTGAAATTGATAAACCTTTCCAAGAGTCGCATTTACAAGCACACTACGAAGATTTACCTAATTTTCTTCGGAATTCAATTACTCCTCGGGGGCCCAGGTTCATCCCCTCTCTGGGAATATAACATTATGCACACCGTTTGATACTAGAGACCAATAGCAATGCTCCAACCACGCTTAGGAAGGCGAGCCTATCAAGTCCAGAAAGACTATCGAAGGGAGCTTCCTTAAAAAGGCATTCGGATGAAGAGAATTGTCTAAGATCCAACCTATTACACGCTTTTCCTAGGATGTTTCAATTCTCAAGAAAACTCCAAGAACGATACCAAGATCCTTAGCTCCTCCCCTCCGATCCTGAAACCCCGGAATGCGGGGAAAGCATGGGGGCATCGTTGTTTAAGGCAGAGGAGCTCACTACCCCCGCACGATACGTTACCTGAAGAGCACTTCTAGCAGAAACCCTCCAAATACGCGCACGTTACCGGTCCAATGTACCGACATTGTATGTACGCAGTGTCCATATGATGCCCCGAGTGTCAGTGGTGTACTGGCAGCTCCGAATAAACCATCTCTCTTGTTCGTGATTGGGGGTGAATCAGCAGTCTAAGCTACGATAGGGTATGTTTCCCGGGGAAGCAAGCGAGATGCGGCAACTTATCAACCAATCTATGCATGGCAATAGCAACGGAGTTTTTTTCTTTTCTTTATCCTCCTTGAACCCGCTATCGGAACAGCAGCTTTATCGATAACTTTGGTTCTTCTATTTTTCCTTTTTCTTGTGACGTGAAAGAGTGTGCGGTGCACAGTATTAGAGATAGATATCATGGGCTAGAGAACTTTCCCTACGTTGGGGAGCGCAAGAATATAGTAGTACCGTAGTCTAGTGACGGGTCACTATAAATCCTTCAATCACACCAAGATGCCTAGCAAATCCACGGTATGCCGCCGACCTTTTTTCTACGGCAAAATGAACGTGGGACTTTGAGAAACACGGTACCGATAGTGCTCGGGAATATTACCTTGGGAAATTTACCAACCTCAATTGAGCCCCTGGAGTTCGAGCCCTCCATGCCTCCTCAAACACTCAAGTACGTATATATAACCAGTACTGTACCGTGATCTCACAGCGTAGCGCCGGCCCGGTATGATGCCTTTCTGTAAATTTTGACCACTACAAGTATTACCGTGTAATGTCTTTCGATGGTGACCAGCCTGTCCGCTGCACATTATGGCAGTGGGATCACTTAGTCGATTGTTTGCCGGGTGATCTAACTCAGGCTAACTCTACTTCATCTGGTATTAGAGAGTACTCGTTTATTATAATTTTTAACCCTCCATTCCACCAGTTGGGTAGAATGCATCTTCTCCCTGGTCGTGTCGCTGTGCGATTGGCTACGAAATTAAGTAAAAGTACATCTTGGTGTGAAGGTGAGCATAGGCTACGAAAAACCGGGGAATTCTCGGGTTTCTTAGACGGTAGGAGGCGATAGGTAGGCAGGGTTCCGCTCGTAGCAGTGACTCCAATGGTACCGGTCTTCTACCAGTAAATGCGGGCTAGTCCGGGAGTGGGGAGCCTCTCCTGGTGGGATGAATAGAAAATGGAATATATAAAGCCACGGCGCAACCCCGCTGCCCATTGGGAAAGGAGAGGGAAGCGTAGAATCTAATATCATACGCCTCCAATTATCATACTCAATCAAACCTCCCTTGTTACCCCCCCCCCTCCTTATTTCTTCCTCAAAGCTAAGAGACTCCCATTTCTCCCTTCTTTGAGATCTCTAGACCTTTAGGGTCCAATTGCCTAGAGGTTTGCACTATTTATCTTCCTCCCCGCCCCTCTTCATCTATATCCTCATCCCTTAGTTTATCTTTTGCTCTTGCGGTTCTCGCCATGTCAATTCTTGAAAGACTCAAGCAACTCAATGCCCACCTTTATGGCCTGAACCAACCACCATATCCTTTCGATCCATTGTCAAACGCTGAGATCGAATATGCCACTGCTGTTGTCCGCGAGAAGCACGGCCAGCTCAAGTACAATGCCGTCACTTTGAATGAGCCCCTGAAGAAAGAAATGCTTGCATGGCTAGCTGATGAGAAGAACGCGCCGAGGCCCCGGCGAAAGGCGGAGGTTGTAGCTATTGACAAGTCATTCGTGCTTTATGATGGAATCGTGGACTTGGTTGATGGAAAGGTTATGGCATGGGAGAAGCTGGAGGGTGTCCAGCCAATGGTATGCTGTATTAAAAATCTGTTTTAGAATGGGCTAGAACGAGGACCAACTAATTCATGGCAATTAGATCACTATGGAAGATCTGCAGGCGACTGAAATGCTTGTGCGCAAGGATCCGAAGGTTATTGAACAGTGCATGATCCTAGGAATCCCTGAAGAGGACATGGATAAGGTTTACTGTGATCGTATGTTTTCTCGTTCGGGGGTTATTGCAATCGGATAACGAATTAACGAGAATATTTAACGCAGCATGGACAATTGGGTATGACGAGCGGTTTGGAAGCAACATCCGTTTGCAGCAAGCGTTAATGTACTACCGTCCTAATATTGACGACATGCAGTATGCATATCCGCTCGACTTCTGCCCAGTGGTCAACACGGAAACCGGCGAGGTCATTCACATTGATATTCCTGGAGTTCGCCGGCCGGTCAACACTTTTGGCAGTAACTACAATCCTGCGGATATTGAGAAAGAGGGTGGCTATCGGACCGATTTGAGGCCTTTAAATATCACTCAGCCAGGGGGCGTCTCCTTCACAATGGACGGGAGGAAAATCAGCTGGCAAAACTTCAACTTTCACATCGGTTTCAATGGTAGAGAGGGCATTGTCTTGAACAACATCACCTACAATGATAAAGGAAATGTTAGGCCCCTGTTCTATCGTATGTCATTAGCAGAGATGGTAGTGCCATACGGTAATCCGGAGCACCCACATCATAGGAAGCACGCCTTTGACCTGGGTGAGTATGGAGGTGGCTACATGACGAATTCACTATCGTAAGAGCCATGAACTTCCACATTCCGAGCCTTAACTAATAACAGCCCGGACAGTCTTGGCTGCGATTGCAAGGGCTGTATCCACTATTTGGACGCAAACTTCTCCAATAGCGCCGGTGCTGCCGTGACCATCAAGAATGCAGTCTGCATTCACGAGGAAGATGCGGGCATTCTTTTTAAACACACTGACTACCGGGACGACTCCGTGATTGTCACTCGTGGGCGCAAGCTTGTGGTTTCGCAAATCTTCACCGCCGCCAATTACGAGTATTGTGTATATTGGATCTTTCACCAGGATGCGTCTATTCAGCTTGAGATTAAACTCACGGGTATTCTGAATACTTATGCTATGGGCCCCGGGGAAGATACAAAGGGATGGGGAACAGAGGTTCACCCAGGCGTTAATGTCTGAACCCTAACCCTTGATTTCTAGTGTGTTTAACTGACGTATGTCTTATCATAGGCTCACAACCACCAACACCTTTTCTGCCTTCGTCTCGACCCTCAAATAGACGGTCAGAAGAACACCGTATTCCAAGTCGATGGGACTCCCAGCGCCGCGCCGGTGGGGAGCGCCGAGAATAAATACGGGAATGCCTTTTATGCTAGTAAAACAAAATACACTAAAGTGAAGGAATCGCTATCGGATTATGAGGGTTCGACAACCAGGACTTGGGATATCTGTAACACAAACAAGGTCCACCCATACTCTGGGAAGTTCCCTAGCTATAAACTCGTCTCCAGGGAAGCCCCAAGATTGCTTCCCAAGGAAGGTAGTCTTGTCTGGAAACGTGCTGGATTCGCGAGACATGCAATTCACGTCACTCCCTGTAAGCATACGCCATAGTTACCCA